GAGCAGCTCTGCGCCCCGGGCGGCGGCCGGCGAGGGCCCTGGAGCGCGCGGTCCCAGCGCCGTGCCCCCGCTGCCGTTCCTCAGCAGGCAGAAAGGTGAGTGTGGTTCCCTCCCATGGAGCAGCGCTGGGCGTCCGGGGGTCCCAGCTCTGGGGCGGGTGGCGTGCGCTGTCCCGAGGCTCCTGGCCGAAAGCGAGCGCCCTGCCTGTCCCCCCGGGCTGGTTTCTGACCTTGGAGGATGCTTCCCTTGGGATGGTCTCGGCTCCTTCCGGTTTCCCTGCTCCTTGGTGTGCAGCAGAGGTCCAAGCTGAAACCCTGCGTTAGCGTCTGGCCACACAAAGGTCTTCCTTCAAGGAGCCCAGTGCGGCGCAGCTCCATTCTGTGTCTTACCCAAGGAGCAAGTCATTCGATCTCCATTAGGGTTTTTGTGTCGCGGGTGGTCTGGAAAGACAGGCACCAAAGTTTCTGTTTCTACTGTTGCTAAGCAAGAACTAAGGTGACGTTAATTTTTAAAGTCATTTATAACTTAGCATGATTTTAGCCTGGCCATATGTCCTCCCTGTGAGAAATCATGAGATGAGGTCTCCAAATGAAGAGAGCAGGGAAACTGAGTACTTAGCTTCCAGACCCTGGGCGTCTCCGGGAGGCTGCCCTCATCAGGCCCACAGGATTGCAGCGGCATCGCAGAAGTCAGGAGAGGGCTCAAAGGGTCAGGAATAAAGAGGCCCTGCTGACTCTGTTTTTGCTAATGGACCACTGTGGGTGAAGACAGAGAACTGAGTAGAGGACTACCAGGGAGAACTTTGAAGCACACCGCAAACGCACTTCACCTTTCTAGTTTACCCTGTGTTTCTCTAGGATTTCCCCTTAGGGGCTCACTCCTAGGATACACCCATTTTCCTTTGACTTTGTGAACTTCTGTGATGCTAATGGTAACTGGAGTGCTTTGTACAAAAACAAAGGGCATAGTCTTTCTCAGTATAAATTGAAAGTTAGTGTCTGAATTCTTTAAAATTTGCACTCGGGGCAGGGGGCCCAGTGGAATGATATTAAAAGACAATTCTGCTGTATGGTTACTGACAATTTAGACACGTGGCATCATATGGGGGCTGATATAATTGATTTTGATTTCCCAAATAACTCCTAAGAGTTGAAAGTGTACTGTGTATGTGTGAGGTAGGGAGAATATTTGAAGACAAATTTAACAGTGTGATGTGTGTTTAAGGGAATATTAACGCTCATTTAAATTCTTTTGCCACGGTGCGGACAAGGAGGAAGCCTGCATCCTGCAGCGATCCAGGGGAAATACCGCTAATACAGACAACCTTCTGTCTCCCAGGGCCCGCAGCATTTGGCCTGAGTGTTGCAGGCACGCATCTCCAGCACATCCCTTACTGGTCCTGAAATAATCACTGCGTGCACCATGCTGTTCAAACCGGTTTATTCTCAAAAATAAGCAAGTCTGAGAGCTGAAGGCAAAGGGACTCTTGCAGACCCATTTCCTTCCCTAGTAAATTTGAGAGACAAATACAACAGCTGGGACTGACAGACCAGATGTCTGATGAAGCACTAGGGGAATGAAAGCTGCAGCTGTGAACACAAAGGCTTCAGAGCATCCTTTATGACCAGTTTGGGGTCATTCAGATCTCTACACAAGCTACCCACATGGCTTGAGCCCTCTGCTGCTAGGTTTAGAAGTTAGAGGAGTGGCAGTCTTCAGAAGATGAAGGCAGGTCAGGGTGAGGAACCTCTGCTCTCTCTTGCCCTGGGGGTCCTTTGAAATCTAATTTCTCATGGAACCTTCCTGCTCAGCTGCACTGTCTGTGGAAAGACTCTCAAAGGCCATTCTGGGGCAGCCAAGGGTGGGAGGCCCTGTGTGGATGACTCAGAGCGACCGGCAGGTTGTGTGAGCTCTGAGGCTCCTCTTGGTCTCCGTTGTGCCGTCTCAGCAGGTGTGAAGGGTTCATGCTGTCTGGCCTCCCCCATGCTGCCCTGAGTCACTGTCACTGGACAGTAGGTGTGGCTCCTGCTAGGTGTGACTACACTCAGCAGTGAGGTTAAGCAAGCTTTGGGGGTTCCCGCTCTTGTTATGACTAAATGCATACCGATGCAGTCATAAGTATGCCAGCTCATCAAGATAGTCTTTGGAGCTACCCTGCTATGCTCAGCGACATTTCAGAAGGGGCTAGAAATATTTCCCATGGACCTGGGGACATCAATGGCATCCTGGCAGGGCACCATCAGGGAGCACCAAGCCGATTGGTGCATGTGTCCTAGAAGTGTATTGTGAGAGCTTTCCCACCTGTCAGAGACCTCTGTGGTTGTTGAATTAGAGACAGAATGTTCTGTCCTCTGACATCCCACTGCCCCATTCTTCTGCTCCCCCACATCTTCTAGGACAACCTGTTAGGACCACCAGACATGGGTCACCATGAGTGTATATTCTGATGCAAGACAGTGGCATACTGTCATGCTGTGGGTTTTTTTGCAAAGGTGAACAATATAATACAGGACACATATTTTATAAGATTATTTATAGTAGTTACCCAAAGAATCATATACAAGAGAGTACAGAAAATCTGTCCACACACTAAGGACCAAAGAATCCAGCTGAGGGCCTGGATCCTGCAATAATGTCCTGCATGACTCCAGCTGAAGACCTAGAGCCCATAACAATGCCTCCCATGAATCCAGCTGGAGGCCCAGAGCCCAGGACAATGTCTCATGCAGGCCTGTTTCACGGATCTGCACTGGGAAGGCCCAAAGGTCAGTGGCAGAATCTGGAAAGTCTGTGCCAGCAGGATGAAGGATTTGTGCTAGCAGGCTGAGAGCTCTACACTGGAGCCAGGAAGTGATGCTCAAAATAAGAACCACAGCTCCCCGGAAAAGTACCACAGCCATCCTCAGCAACAGTGAGGTCCCAAGCTCCACAGGAAAGCCAACACAGCAAGCTTCTCCAGGAGACTGGCAGTGCACCATCTTCCCCTCCAGAGCCAGGAAGTGATGCTCAAAGTGAGGATCAGAGCTCCCCCAAATTTAACTGAAGCTATTCTTAGTGCCAGCAAAGTCCCAAGCTCCTTGGAGGATGAAAACAGCCGAGTTCATTAGGAAAGCCAGCATGACAAGCTCCTCCAGGAAAACCAGCAGCTCCTTACAGCTTCTACCGGCTCCCAACAGACTTCCTTCTTTTTCTCCTCCAGTTCTGCCCCTTCTCCAGTTCTGCCTCTTGTGCTGCTGGCAGCAATCCTCTGGTGGGCCTACCACACCCAGCTCCATGCTTACTCAGTTCAGCTGGGTGTTACAAGTTGACCACCAGTTGTCAACCCAGTACAATATTCATGGTATTTTTATCATACCTCATAAGCATCCTCCCTACTGCATTTTCATAGTAAGTAAAAAATGAAATTCCATCTGTAGAGAACTGAGTAGACAACTGTAGCTTATCCATCAATGGGATTCAATGATGTCATTTTAAAGAACTGCATCTGGATCCCATTAGCATGAGATAAAGCCAAAAATACATGGTGCTGGCCTGAGTATACACACTTCACTGGGTGCCCCATGGCACATCATATGATCCAGAATGCTTTTAATATTTTAAAAGTTATCATCAAAATAAAAGTACAAAATGTAAAATTCTCTTAGTGGAGGAGTGCATCCAGAAACTCACTTTGAGAAATGCTGCGTTTTAGTTAAAGGTACTGAAGGGGATTCAGCTGTTTTCCATCTCTTCTGATTAAAGAGGTACCTTCCCTCCTCACCTGTAGCTTCCTCTGCACAAGAGCCAGCAGCAGCATGAGCTTGGAGGGCTCAGCAGGAGAAGGTCTGTCTCTTTATGGGAGCAAATTGTAGGAGCTACCAGTTGAGCATGGAGTTCATACAGAGTAGACTTTCAACTTTCTAGCACTGATTGATGATGTTTGTTATTGTCATTATTATACCAGATATTGCTTCTGGACCACAATATTTGGAAGAGAATCAAAATAAGTATGAACCATTTGTTCAGAGCAAAACCAGTCATTACACAGGTTTGTATTTATTTGTTTCTGTAATATTGAACTCATAAATCAGACTAAAGATTCTTAGGAAGTCCTCCTTTCAAGGTACAAATTTCAGAATCATTCTGAAGTCTTAAGCTCTTCTGTTGTAGCTGCTGCCGTGTGTCGGTTTTCAACAAGATACACCAATAGTTGTTGGATAAAGTCTGGCTCCTGTGCCAATGTAGGTCGTGTAAATACTTAGATGAAGGCATTGAATTCCCTACCTTAGATAATTCAAAATAATTTAGTCCCTTTGTGGGGCTTTGTCTGATGATAAAAGGTGTTCTCCTGGTATAGATAGATATTCTCAGAAGGTTCCAGGAGCTAGCTTAGTTCACTGGCTTTTCCTTCTGAAACACAACAGTAGCATGTTCAGTTGCATATGGATCCATGTTTTTAAAGTAATGGCTTCGGGACATTGGAGTGTGCCTATGGGGGTCCTCTTTCTCAGCCTTAGATGGAATTGCTCCAAAACTTGTTAGGTGCTAGCACTTAAAAGTCTAGGGACAGACATTCTTGACACTTCTCAAGAGTATGTATAAAGGTCCAAAATGGGTTTTATACATCTGTAATATTTCACTACCGAATCTGGGGACATAACTAACTGCAACCCCTTAGTAAACTTGGTCTGGGCATAGAGTGGGACATAGATTAGCTCCTATGATGGATTCAAGTCAACCTTGAACGTCTGTACAGAGAGAGTTAATAGATGGCAAAATTTTTGGTGCTGCCATGAAATGATAACCATACCTGGTAGTGATCCTGACTCTCTGTTCAAGTCATTACCCCTCACATAAATCATTTTCCTTAACAGTAACCAAGGTTGGAAAATTTAATTCACATACTTTTAATTTTCAAGGCCAAAATGAGCTCCAGCAGATCCCCCCCTTTGAAATGCTAATCTCAGTTTCTAATAATTTGAGTGGGCTCCTTACAGATATTGTCTCTGTACTTCTTGGTTCTATTTTTGTGACACTACAAAACACTCTTGAGATACAGGCAGCATAGTTTTACTCAAAGTTATGCCAGCTGTGCTATAGGTTTGTATTTATCCTT